CAACCATTGCTCTCCTCTCATCCACTGGACCAATCAAGTCATCACAAGAGACTGTCAGGTTGACCAGGCATGATTTCTTCTTTGTAAATCCATGCTGATCGTTCACAATCTACTTCTTGTCTTTTGTGTCTAGAAATGGTTTCCAGTACTATTGGTTCTACCGTGTGTCAAGGGACATGAGATTGATTGGACTGTAGTTCTAGGTAAGACTTAAAACCATGCCCTCCTGATGGAAGGAGTGATATTTGTTCTGTTCTAGTCCTCAGGAAAGTACCCTGATCCCCATGATGTTTCAGAGACGATTGAGAGTGGTCTTGTCATAACACCAGCCAACTCCCTCAGTATCCATGGGTGAACCACCATTAGTCCATGAACATATGTATGTCCAAACTATTTAAATATTCCCTGACATGATCCTCCTTTACAAAGGGTAAGTCTTCTCTACTCTAGGCTTTACCATGGGTCTCAGGGACCTTAGATTTCTAAAGGCTGGTCTTACCAGTAAAGACTGAGGCAGAAAAGACATTAAATACCCTAGGCTTCTCCATGTCCTTCCAGGTCCTAGTGACCTGTCACCAGGTTCCCTGTCCTGTTCAGAAGTGGGGCCACATTTTCGCTAATTTTCCTTTTGTTGCTGATGTACCTGTAGAAACCCTTCTTGTTTAATTTCACATCCTGTAGAGGCCCAAAGGACTAGATGAGCTTCCTAACTCCTTCTCTGCACACATGAACAATGTGCCTATCTTTGGGTAACATGTCTTTGTTTCCCCCTTTGCTTACCTCTTCTATTTCTGTTTTGTCAGGAGCATCTTATTCATCCATGAAGGCCTCCTGCTGCCTTTGCTAAATTTCCTGAGCCTCAGGATGACCATTCTGGAGCTTAGAGAAGCTTAGAGGACCAGTTCCCCTGGTTCCCTCTTCTATCCCAGCCTATCTTCCTCGGGATCCTTACAAGCAGATACATGAAGAATCTAAATTAGCTCTCTCTAACTTCAGGGCTTTGACTTTTCTGTTTGCTCTCCTCTTGGGATCCTGAACTCCATCATTTCATGGAGCTCAAAGGCTGTGCAGTACATTCATATCCCTGATCAGTTCTGCCTTGCTTGTAAATATGACATCCAGAACATCTCTCTCATGTGTGACCATCTTGATCAAATGTCTCAGAAAGTTGTCATCTGTGTGCTCCAGAAGCCTGGATTTCTTGTGCCTTGATGTATTGTCCCCGAAGGAAATATTGGGATGGTTTAAAAAAGTCTTTATTTGTTTCTTCCTGATCAGGACATTGGTAGCAGACACTCATTGCAATGCAGCCAGTGCTGGTCTGCCTTGCAATCCTGACCCACAACTTCCCAGCTAGTTCAATGTCCAGCCTCAGGCCAAGGTCCACATCATCCTACTGCCCTCACACAAGGGACATCTCCCCCTCCTTGCCCTCCCTGGGCAAACCTGTCATTCCTAGAAAGCCAGCAACCATCCACAGCAGTGCAGCTGTGGTGAGAGCTGTTCCACCCAAATCTGTGATCCCAGTGATATTACAGCCCTGCAACTGCACACAGATCTCTCATTTCTCCTGTTTGTTCCCCACACTGTTAGCATTAGTGCAATGAATTAGTGCCCTCCAGAGAGGCACCCAGTCAGGCTGACTCTCCAGAAGAGACATGAGAGCTTTCCCAATAATGCTGTCCAGAAGACACTTCCTTATTTATGGGCATATGTTTGAGATGGCCTCCCTTCAGTCCTGTTTTGTTGATTAAGCTTTGTCAGGTGGATCCCATGTGTGATTGTAGTGTTCCTTGACTGTCACATGGTTGTAAAAAGCAAATCCCTACTGTCAACACCTGCTGTGCAACCAGTTGTTGACCCACAAGATCTGTGCTCTCTCCACAAGCCCATGTCATGTGGGAGAGACATAGGGACTTTTGTATTGGACAACAGTCAAGGATGAAGCATGTGGTATCTTATGAAAAGCACGGTGAACTTGCTGCCCCAGGGAATATTTTTTCCTCCCAAACTCACTCCAAGTACACACACAAGGCAAGAAAGAGACCTTCTCTTCCCTCTGCATTGAACTTTTCAAGGACTCCAGAGGCTTGGTGGGTTTTGGGGCTAGACTCAGACCAATAAGAAAGGTGGAAAGCCAGAAACCCCTGCTCAGACTCTGCATCCTCATCTCTAATCCCTACCTGTCTTATTCTGAGAGATGCAGATGACAAGACTCAAGTCAAGTTCCTTGTGGCAGGCACTGGGGTGGTACTCTGCATGGTGCACATGAGTGGGGCAGGCTGAATGTACAAGGGGATCTTTTAGGGGTTAAACAATCACACAGGAGTAAGTCTCAGTCCACAGAAGATAATTCATTTTGGGTCTAGATGTTACTGGAACACTTTGGGGTGTGTTTTGGGAGCAATCCCACAAACTAAAGAGGAAAGGGCCACCATGTTACAATAGCAGATAGATTATGGTATTGATAATAATTGGTCTTGATGGTATGTTCAGAACCACACATAGCTCAAATAAATTCTTCATCCATACAGCTTACATACTGTCATCTGGGATATGGATCAGCTTTTTGCAGAATGAGAGAGCTGCTGGAAGCATGACACCTGGACAGAAACTGAGTGATACCCTCTACAGTGTCACAGGAAGCCAAACAGCTCCATTGCCTTCTCTGGGACAGGGGCCATGATCTTCTTGCCCACTTAGGAGTGGCCAGTACTCTTAATAATGCTCATGAGGAAAATCCAAGGTTGTTGTCCAATTATCTGTGTCTAATTGCATTTAATCAGGGCCTTGCAAAGCAAAGGTGGGTCTGCCAGACAGTGTTATTACTGTGTTATAACAGGGTGAGTTATTTTGTTATTCAAAGTAGATAGTTTAGAAGAAATTAAAAATTGGGAAAAAAAAGAAAAAAGCTTCTGTTCCACAATGTTTCTAGTTGGCTGGAATAGATCAACATCTCATCTTTCACCTAAATAGGAATCCCTGAACTCCCTCAACTACTCTTATTTCTGAGTCAGTTTCTAGCTGAAACAGCATTCCAGAAAGAAGATAAGATTATCCTTGATCAAAACAATGTTCTTATTCTCTACTCTGTCTGGAGAAACTCTGTGGAGGAAGTGGCTGCTGAGACAGGGAGAGAAGAAAAGCCAGTGTAAGGCTATCTTGGGACTACTCCACCTTCTGGAACAGAGAACTGGAAGAGCTCTGTATCTTGCAGAAATGTGAACTCTGCTCCACTGGTGTCCTCTCTCCTAACATGTTTTCAGCATACTGCTCTCACAGCCCTAAACCTATGCAACAAAGAGCTTTTTGGTTTACAGGCTTATGCACAAAGTCCAGACAGAAACCCCCTCTGACATTACGGTTTTCACCACGGAAGAGACCTTTGGCCCTATGGACCAAGTACAGCAGCAGAACAAACATTCAGTGGTTGCAGAAAGCTGCAGGTCAGGGTAATCACAATGTATTGAAAACTCACCAAATAGTCGTCAGTCAGGAGCATGGAGCCTTTGTTCTAAGACCAGATGAGCATCATCTGGTGGAAATACTTAAGGTGCTTCACTATTTGTTATTTGATAGCTATTTGTAGCTGGAAGAGTAACACGTGCAACAGCTAAGCAGGCAGTACAACTTGTATTATGACCTCCTGCATGGTTTCATCCAAAGCCCATCAAAGCTGGGAGGGAGTCTTTGGCTAAAACTGTCTTTCAGTCAGGCATTAATCTAATGTACCAAAACTATCTCGGACAAAATCCTTTTTATATCAAACTACCCTCTGAAACTACCTTTCCCCCCACCTTTTTTTATTGCTTCATCAAAATACATCCAGCTGTTCCTGTGCTTGTAGCAGTACAATTTGCCCCAGACATTCCAATGGAAAATTGTGTACATATATAAGTCAGTAACAGCTGAATCAATTTTCTTCAAACTCCCTTATTTTAAATCTAATGGAAATCCAGAGAATATGATTTGCTTGCCCTAACTTAATTAGCTCAGTAATTTTAAGATTATTAGCACTGGTCTTTTTTACTTCTGCTCAATATGTTCTGAATTCCATCTCCTTGCTCACAGAAAAATGTTTTTACACAATGGGTTATTTAAAACTATAATTGTCCAGCAAACTTTAAACACGTATTAGGCCAGTACAGTGCAAAGAGAAAGCGGCAGTAATCTCTTCACTACTCCCAGCTGTTATTGGCTGCATGACATGATAATAATAATAACTTGCATTTCTGTAGAATATTTTGCTTCAGGAAAAAAATTGAAGGATGTTGGACTGCTCTTGAATAATTTATGAATTCCATATGTTTATAAGTGTCTTTAAATGCCATGAGGGATCTACAGTATGGAAATATGTTTGCTCCTAGGAGGTGTTGACTATCCATGGGCAAGGAGGAATATAATTGCATTTAGGATATGCTGCAAATGCCATCTGCTTTGATGTCCTACATCTGTGCAGCTGTGGGGTTTAGCAAACTCTGCCCACATGGGAACAACATGTCCCAAGCAGAATGTAGAGGAGAACCAAAACTCCAGGATACTGAATTAAACAACTGAAGGAGTAAGGAATGGGTTTTAAAGAACTGGACTTTCAGGGAAAATTAATAAATAAATGTCATTGAAGTTCTCTGTTGAAAGGTGACAACCTCCTAGGTAATCACTTTTGTTACCCATAAAACATTACACCCAAAGTTTTCAAGATTTTTAATCCTTTGTTCTAAAGGACTAATCTGTACAATGCTCTTAAGAAGGCTGCCCCATAAAATCTTCCAGAGAAGTGACTGTTCAGTCTAAAAGGAGCTTGTGAAATGATGTTGGCAATTCAGGTAATCCAGGAACTAGTCTAAGGCCAGGGAAATTGGAGGCTTGGTCTCAAGGATGGATGAAGTGTCTTCTGAGGGACCATAACATCAGGCAGAAGAGCAATTCATCGTCTTGGACAAGTACCGTCCAAACTGGGACAAGGGTCAGGGGCTGAAAACTGCATCTTTCATTTGTGTGGAGAGCCTTTCATGAAACTGGAAGTTCATGGCACATACAGATGTATGGTTTGAGACAAGAAAATTCTTGGTTTTGATGTTTTCAGTTAGCATATTTCACTTTTCATGTTCCCAAGTGAAAACATTCTGCTCTGTTTAACTGCCCAACCCATCCCAGTAAACATCCATGCACATCTCCAGATGATCAGGAGAGCTTTGTAGCTTGGGTGTTGCAGGCTAATGTTCACCACGGTGGCTACAGATGCCTGACTAAGTTTCTTTGTGCTTGGCTCTGGGGTTTATTGACTTCTATGGGTCACCACAAGACCTGGATGAAGGGGGAACTTTCCCATTGCAGGCAATGTAGTCTGGGCAAGGTAGACCTGTAATGTTGAGGGGAATGAGCATGGGACATCTGAGTTAAAAACTTTCATAATAGAAAGTGTTGCTGGTGGGAAACCAGAATAAATCTGGGATGACTTGGAAAAGAGTTAATTTTGTAACTTCAATAGACCAGAATGCATTGAAAATGCTGAAGCATAATGAAGTGACTTTTTTTAACCTCAGCCACTAAGACCTGAAGTGTTTCACAATATAAAATCCTTTGAAAGCTCATTTAGACAGAATCAAAACAACCAGACCTCCTTAAAAACAAGTTGCTTTTGATTACAGAGCAGAAAATATAGGCTCATATGCAATCCACCAGACACAGCACATCCCAGGAAAGTCATTACATCTGAATACTGTTTCCATGGAGGCTGATAGCAAAACTCCCCTGATTTTGCTAGCAGAAGTTCACCTCTTAGATGCAGTGTAAGTTACTCCTTTAAGAGTCAACAAACACTTCTGTTGTAACCATCAAAAACCAGGACCACACCACACAAGCAAACATTTTCTGTGAAATTTCCATTGCTAAATGAAAAAATAGTAATGGAATTTAGCATGTTAATGACTATTCTTCAAAGTGCATTCCCTGGTTAATGTGCAAAAGCAAATGAAAGGAACAGGTATTATAATGAATACTCTGAAGTATTCATTGTAGTTTGAAGATTTTTTACAGTATTCCAGGCAAAATAAGTTCTAATATTCTTCTATATTTACTTTCTCAGACTCCTATGAAGCCTAAATAGAAGTTTTGTAGAAGATGGTGTTCTGTGGACGACAGTGGAATAGCATTTTCCTTTTTTTGAGTAAACTGACGGCCTAAACTAACCATTAAACTACGTGATGAAAAGTGCTACTTAAGTGATATCCTAAATAATAGACTTCTCTGAAACCGTCTGCATGCTTAAATGATATCATACATAAATGTGTGCACTTATCTGAGTTTTCCCTTCCCAGACAATTAAATTACATTAAAAGTACTGATACTACTTAAGCCTTTTAAAATAATAATGAGAATAATAATATTTATTAATTATAATTATGAGTATAAATGATCAAAAAGTAATAAAAACTAAGCTAACATAAATAAAATTACCAAATAAAAAGAAACAGAAGCTATGATTTTTTACTGAAAATCAGATTTTTGTTTTCTAGTCATGTAATTGGAAAGAAATTTAAAGTAATATTTTAACTCTGCTTTGGAGCTGTAACATTCTACCTCTTGGCATTTTAACTAAATTGCAGCACACCTCTGTCCCACTGAATTTTCTTATTTTTATTGTGTTCACAGAATACACAAATCTTTCTATGTGCAACCATTTTTCTGAAGAAAATGTAAGCATTAATCCTCTGCCTTGGCATGAGAAATTTGGGTAATTCAAGTTTGGTACAAAGGTTTTTCCTGCCCCATCAGGAAGTCCTCTGGAGGTGTGAAGGGCTGACTAGAGCCAATTGAAATTAAAAACAAAAAACAAAAAACAAAATTGAAAGAAACCTCTTTCTGGTTCTTGCAGAAATCACACAGTGAATTCTATCCAAAATTAATTTTCTTAAGCCATAGGTATTAGAATTCAAATCACAGAATCACAAAATATTCTACAAGGATCATCAAGTCCAACTCTTAGGTCATATCTTTTGCAAAAAAATACTAACCCTTTTCAAATTAAAACTTAAAAAAACCTGAGATATTGTGATCCACATTTTTCAGCCTGCCATCTTCAACATGCAATGCAACCACGTGAAGAAGCAAGTGCTGAAATTACCTTCCTTAGCTGGGTGTATAAAACAGGAATATCTTTCTGAAGTGATATTGCCAATACAATCGGCCACTCAACGATGTCAAGACTTTTTCTTTTTGTGGACAATGGTACAGAAAATCTCTGAAAATTGCAATGAGGAGTGACTTAGCATCTGCCAACACTTCTAAAATCGCCAGAGGAGTAGACTCTGCTTGGAGATTGTACATCTTGGAGGTTGTGCCTGGAAAAGGACTGTCCTTCCTTTCTTCCGCATGTACATGGTTCAAGAGTGATTTGTTATGGTATGTAGTACTTCAGAAAATTATTAAAGAAAGGGTAATGAAGGTCTAAGTGCAAGTAAGCATGGAAAGGTGTAAAATCTTACACCTTCCTGTCAGAATGATAACTTGTGAGACTTCAGAGTCAACACTGAAGCAAGATTCCCTTTCTATCCTAGCTTCTGCCGTCCCACTGCTCTTGAGGTCACAGGAGCCATTAATTAAATCCTCTCTTAACCTTTCTCTCAAACCTTACAGTTTATTGCACTGTCACACTCTTGTCAGCAACTTCTATCCCAAATCTGCCCCTACTCAGAAACACCAGTTTCAAACACCTCTCTAATATACATGCGAGACAGGGCAAACCTGAGCATGAAACAAATATTTTATAATTTACAGTGATTTTTCAAGTTCTTGAATCAACACCCCTCCATCCTAACTAAGCTTTACAAGATGTAGAAATGCAACCATAGATGTTGCTTTTCATAGATATAAAAATTACTCAAGTGGAAAAA